ATTATATAGAGTTTTTTGGAAATTATCATAATGATACTAAATTTTATTTTTTTAAATGAAATATTTAGCCATGTACTTTATTTATTATGTAGATTTTTCACCAAATATTTTTGTTCATGTGATGTAATGTTATGTTATTCTTAAAAAATTATAAAAACTATGATCTATATCGAGTACATGCATTAATCTAGTTTTAGTTTTTTATAGATATATAATCAAATACATAGACATATATGTACAACATAATAATTAAACAAAGAGATTTACTTATTCTAAAAGTTGAGTATCTTTATGATTTATCCATAACTTTATATGGATTTATATGTGTGCATAAGTAATGGCTAAAATGATTATTTGTCCTTATCTTATATATTTTAATTTAAATTTGAATTTTTGATCAAATTAGTTAGTGTAATTTAATCAATATTATTAATAAAATTTAAGACTGTTAATTTATGATATTATGTGTCAAATTTATTGATACAAATATTATAATTAATTATGTGTTAGTTGGATATTATGATAAATGTCATATAACATATGATGTGATATTAAAAAAATATAGATGTGAACAAATTAAAATCAGTTTACTAAAAAATTATTAGTTCTATATGTTCGATTCAACCTATGCCTGCTTCTTTAGACAATCTTCATTTTTCTCTTACAATCTTTTTTTTTTTTTAAATTATTCGCATCTTTTGGATGAATCATTAATCTTGTGGATGATAGCAAAAATGAGAGAAATATGCGGTAGCTACGGTTGAGGTTGTAGACAATAAGAGCATTGAACAAAATGAATGAAACGACGAACTAAATACTTGTAAGGAATTAAGTTTCGATGAATGGGGAGCGTGACAATTAACGAACAAATGAGATAAAATAAATGGATTGTCTAGTCAACTATTGATGAAGAATTTAAAGTAAACAATTGGTCAAACACGATAATAAGAATAATAGATTTGGTATAGCACTTTTTTATTATGTCATTCCGTCAATGTAAGGTCTTTTCCATCTCCAACATTAAGGTTGTTCAGGCACTAGCCTCAAACCTAAGTCTCCTAAAAGATGTCACCATATTAGACCTTATCGTTGATGCCATCAATAGCCATCTCTTCACACTTGTCCATTTAGTTGTTCCACTTCATCCATTTTAACGTTTTTATTGCTCATGGCTTAATAACGACAACCACATCTTCCTCTTCCTTTTGCCTTCCCCCTACGAGGCCGATGATGCAACCTAAATGGTGGAAATAACTTTTTTTTTTTTAGAATTAAGAGCTCACATAGAAGATGAAAGCCGGATAAGCATAGAGAATTTGAATCGAGCAAATTGAGGTTAATAATTTTTGTATCCGTTTAAATAAATATATACCTATATATTTTTTTAATATCACATCAGATGTCACATGACGTATGATGTATAATTTAATTATTACAAAACTAATAAAAATATGTAACGTGTCAATAAAATTGACATATGAGACTTTAAGTTGATATTGTTAAATTATAGTAGTAATGTAAATTATTATTTTTTAAATATTAACTCAATTGATAAAAAAAATTTAAGACATGAACTAGTTTAAATAAAAGTAAATATTATTAAATAATTATCTCAACTCATAATAATTTATATATATGCACAAGGTACTGATTTAAAAATCATCACAAATATCAATATTTAGAGTGCGAGATAAAACATATAAATGAAAATTTTAGTTTATGTATTAGCATAGGTAAATACAAATACATATATATATATAAATATAAAAAATTAAATGAATAATTCAGAATATCTCGAAAAATCAATTAATCAATTATCTTTTATGATTTTTCAGCGGTATTAGAAAGATATATACATGTGTATATGTTTGTAGTTTATATATATGCATAAATTAGCAATTCACTTGTTTATGTTATACATGACTATATGACATGATTCTTAGTTATAATTCTAATTATCATACATATATATATATATATGCTATATACTTATATTATGCCAAACCTCAAATTATATTATAAAAAGTTTAATTATGTAAGAATTGTATATGAATCATGATCATCAGAAAATTAAGCTCATCGATCCCATAACATGCAGAAACTTAGTTAATTAGATTTAGTACTAATGGATTACGGAGTATAAAAAAATTATGAATGTAATATACAAACGAGGTCGTTGGATGATTTAATAATCACAAAAAATTTTTATTACTTGTATCCCGACAAAATTTTATTAATAACCATTGAATTGAAGAAAGCAACCTACAACTCGAGAATCTTACCACGTTATGATTCCAAGTATGCCGCTACAATCTCATATGTAAATATCAATACGGCATCGTTTGATCACCCAACATTTTTATCATCATTTCTCTCCGCATAGGAGACTTTGTTTTTCAACCTTATAACAGTTGCGTCATTTTGCCAACCCACCAAAAAATTGTCTCCCCCGTTGCTCGATTAATCGCCGCTCTCTCCACGTGGACGTTCTCCATTGGATGTATATCGCGCTCTAAACTCACTAATGCCGAGTCGAAAAAATTATTTATATTAAAATTTGAAAATACTTATAAAAAAAATATTTATTTAAATATAAATATATGTTAGCATTAAGGAGTATGTAAAAGAGTGGGCGTTTTCTATAAACACATTTCTCCAAAGAAAATAAACCTCCATATCTCAAAACTTAATTTCATTTTTTTCCTGTGGTAATACCTCTTCTTTATCTCTCTATAGGGGCTTTCTTTCTCTCTCTTCCTCTCTCTCTCTCTCTCTCTCTTTCACGCAGTCGACGATTAATCCAAAATCGGGTCGTCGGCTTCATACCGAATCGGACCTTGTTAACCCCAGCACCCGGTGAATCTTAGCCACCGCCGCCGACACGCGTAATCGGAAACCTGAAACCCCGTAATAGCCCTCCGGAACCTTGAAATGATATAGATTGTATATCAACGAAAACCGTTTCTATTCTTTCGCCGCCGGTGATTTCGTTTCCGGCGATTGAACAGGTGCGCACGATTTTGAACCTGCGCACTCTTCCTGTGTTGATTGTTTCGTAATTGTGAAACCTTTTTACGTAATCGGCCAAACTGTATTTTTTTTCTCTGGAACTGCAAGTGTTCGGTATTCCTTTGCATCATCGGCTTCTTGTTCCTCCTCGAATTTTCTGTTTCTGCTCAAACTATTGTCAATTTAGGGTTTCTGATTACGAAATTGGGATTATTCTTTCGTTTTAGGGTTTGTACAATCAACTTTTTGGCGGCCTTAGTGGCCGATTCTGTTTGATTTTGAGCTTCGAGTCATGGATCTATAGATTGCTTTGTTTAATCTGTTCGATTCGCTTCTTTTGTGTTCTGTTGATTTCTTCGATTGATACAATCAGATTCAGTTCAAATTTTTGATCGTTTCCTGCTTAGAGTGGAGTGTGCCTGGGAATTGAGTTGTTTGAAATCTTGCTCTACTCGAACTGCGTTCTTTACTGATTTCATGTACCGTTCAGTTGTTTATGTTGACAAAACACTAAGAAAAAGCTTGTGTTGTGTTGTTTCTGGATTGAACTTGGAGTTTCCCTTAGTGCCGTTATTCTTATCAACTCAAACAACGTCCAAACTTCTAAACATGTGTGTCTTGGATGGGCATGCAGGAT